ATATATATATATATATATATATATATATATTAGCTTTGAATTTGAAAGGAGCTGTTCTGGTCCTACTGCTAGAGCACAGTACAGCCTGCCAGTTCTCCTGAAAATTTCAGAGGATATGGAGTTGCTACAAGAGGAGTTAGAGTGGCAGATATGGCCTAGCCAAAAGTAGATCTATGATGTGAGTGTATGTGGTCAAAGTAGTAAATGTTTTTAGCCAGACATGTGGAGACACATTTCTTACCATCAGAAACAGGCAGGTCTAAAATCCATGCAGTATGATTAAAGTTCCAGCTTCCTTATCCTCCATGTTCTGACCTCACTGACCTTGATTATCAGTTACTTCCAGATTTCTGTGCGCAGTAACATAGCAAGGGGGGGGAAGCGGATGAGCAGGGCAAGCACTCCAGGCATCAAAGCAAAGGGGCGCCAAGAGGTGCTGCCCAGCCAGGGCAAAGCTCAGGACTGAGTCATAAGCGGCTCATTTTGTGGGGGGCAGCTCCCACCACTGTGAGCACTCTCAGGCAAGCATGGGGATGCGTGTGCCCCCCGGATCTATGTGCGGGCCGTTGGCAGGCTGCTGCTTGGGGCTTGACCCTGCCACCAAATTTCCTTCCTATGGTACTGATCATTCCAAATCATTATTTTTATTCTGGGAAATCTTTCATAGCCTTTAGCATGTGGAGTTTAGTCGGCCTTACTCCATTCTTTAACTACAGCGGCTGCTAGTGCCTGGAAGACAACTTTTATTTATGACTTAGCCAACTGCCTAAGAATTTGTCTAGCGATCTGGACTGGAAATCCATCTCTAGGAGAGTATGAACTGAAATGGGATGGTTGTTAAATCTACTCCTGTTACTTGCTTGACCGGCAGTAAGCTATGTCACCTTGTTCATTGGAATATTTTGTTTGTTTTCTTTCCCTGCCTTCTGTAGAGCCTAAAGCAAGCTGCAGATTAGGTCGATCTGCATCCACGTCAGGTGTGCCTCCTCCATCAGTTACTCCTCTCAGGCAAGCCAGTGACCTTCAGCCAAGCCAGGTACCATCGTTACCCAATCGCGAATGACTTCATGTGCTCCGACATGCCAAATATCTCTCACCTTCGTGTCTGTCATTTGTTACAGTAAATGATTTTTTTGTTGTTTGTCTTTCTTCTTGCGTGAGCGTGTTGTATGTAAGTC